GAATGTGCTGAAAGGCTCCAATTCCCAGGTCTCCCTCAGAAGGGACACAGCCCCTCCTGGCTCCCTTCCCTCCCCACCCCCTTAGTCCATCACCTATTCTGCATCCTGTTCAGTTTACGGTGCCCTCCCTGGGCCTGTAGCAGCAGCACAGAGAGGAGAAGGATGGGCAGCAGAGCCTGGGTTGGCATGACTCTGGCCAGAAAGGAGAGCTCTCAGTCTGCCACAGGCTTCTCTGGAGAGCTGGGTGGTTATCCTGGGCCCTTCCTGCTTCCACTGGCTGCTCAAGGGGCCTTTTCCCCCATCCCCTATGCCTGTACCTGACCATGGCCTGTTCTCTGGGACTTGGGCTTCTGCAGACAAGTCCTCCTCTCACGTGACTAAACCCCTCCCTTGCAAACAATTATTTTCTACTTTAATTATAGTGCCTTAGAGCTCAGAGTTATCCAAAGCACAAAGACTCAGGGGCTCAGGGCTGGGCTTTGTTTTGACCCTTAGGGATAAGAAGGACTTGGAACTGGAACTGGATTGAGTGAGGGTGGTTATTCCTTCATGACAAAAGAGGTAGAGAAGAACAAAAGGTTAGGGACCCTCAAAGGAAGGATCAGGGAAGGAAAGCATTTTCCTCTTGGATATCCAGGATATTACAGGGGAGGAAAGCAATTTTTCCTCTACCCTTCTGGGTTCTGGTTTGAAACCCCCCTGCAGTAAAAGACAGATTAGCAGGAGAAAAACAAACTGAATTTTCCTAACGTGTATACCTCCAATATACATGGGAGAGACCAGGAAAACTGAGTAACTTCCCCAAGTGGCCCAAATGATCTCCTCAAAACCTGCTTCAGCTGAAGACAAAAGATGTGGAAAGGAAGGGGAAGACCAGTTATGGGAAGTCACCAGGAAAGGCACTATGAACAAAGGTATGGTTATGCAGATTTCTGCTACAGGCTCCATTGATAAAGAATTTCTAGGGGTTGAAAGTCACCCTTCTTTTCCACTTAACAGAGAGGAAGACACGTCTACAAATGGAGACTTTCCTCATATGTGTAAATGTTTCTTATGAGGGGGAGCAAACTTTGCCAACCCAAGATCTGCCTCTATGGCATATTGATTATTTTACGCTGGTTATTTTTAAGAAATAGCAGACACAGGTGAAACTCTGAAAACTGAATAGAAGTTACCATTTTGTAAGAGATTGTTTAATGTAATCCCGGGCCATTGAGAGATGGAAGGGAGAGAAGATGTGTTGCTCCAGGTGAAGTGCTGCTTCAATTTGGAGTTTTGACTTTCTTATTTCCAGACACCTTCTATTTCCCTCCCTTTGAACATCTCAAGGAATTTTGTTCAGTTCATCTGGAGTATTCCAAAAAAGGAAATAACTTTAAGGGAGACAGTTCCTTGACAGTCCGAATATCAGAACTGTATACTTTTTGTCTCCTCCTTCTCTTTCTACTTGAGTGCCCATGTAGCAGGAGAGTAGAGCCAAAGAATGCATGCCCAGCTGTAGATAGTACATCCTAATCATCCTATAAGTAGTTGCTTTTCCTCTGAAGGGGCTCCAGAATTCCTCAGCCTCTGCACCAGCTTGTCTGGTCTCCAGGGCCATACACAGCAGCACCGGGGACTTCACTTCACCATCATGGAGGCACTTCAATTCCTCCCGGAGTAGGAGCCCATTTCCTAGATCCCTCCTCTCCCTTTTTCTTGAGGACCTCATTTTGGTAACATACACTCCACAGGAGCTTCCTGAGAGAGCGTGTGAGAAAGAAGTAAAATAGAGACTTTTAAGCCTCCATTCTACATTACTATATACTTCGGTTGGTATTTCAGTTCAGATTAGTTTTGAGCACATGATGACTACAACAACAAAGAAAATAGTGGCTTAAATAAGATAGGTCAATATTTGTTCACATGGAATATTCAGGATTTAGGTGTCCCAAACAAGTGTGGAGACACCACAAAACGATGGAAGATCCAGGCTGCTTTGCCTCTTTGCTCCATTGTCCTTGGCATGAAGTTTCCATTTCCAAGCTCACCTCATGACCTACCAGGACTAAACAAGATATGAAATATCACCCTCAGCCAAGAATAAAACTCAGACAGTTAATTCAAATGTTAAATCAAAGTAAGAAAATTCAAACCATAGCCAAACTAGATGGAAATGGAATATAGTATTACTCAAAACTGGATGAGGAAAGACTCTGTGGACTTAATAATAAATATGGTGTTGTGGTGCAGCATTTAAAAATTTTTTAACGTTTATTTATCTTTGAGAAAGAGAGAGAGAAACAGAGTGCAAGCAGGGGTGGGGTAGAGAAGGGGGGAGGCACAGAATCCGAAGCAGGCTCTAGGCTCTGAGCTGTCAGCACAGAGCCTGACACGGGGCTCAAACCCACAAATCATGAGATCGTGACCTGAGCTGAAGTTGGAGGCTTAACTGACGAGCCACCCAAGCACCCCCATGGTGCACCATTTTAAAAAAATATTAATCTAGATCCTGTTTTTTCTACTTTGCAATTCCTTATTTTTCCATCAAGGCCTTTGACCACGAAACTAGAACATGAAGCTGAGGTTTATTTCCCCAGGGAGAAGGGATCACAAAATAAACCAGTGAGGATAGTCATGTTCATGGATGTGAGGTCACAAATAGTTTTGAAAGCCATTACTGGTCATTGAGAGAGAAAAGTTGTTTCTCTATGTTTGTCTTGCGTTTGAAATAACAAAGGCTCAGCTTTGGCCATCACGAGTGTGGAGTCATTCCATAACCTCAGAATTCGGGAAAAAGCTAAATAATGTAAGAATAGATCTTGTCCACTGGGAAGGTATAAGCACTTGGAGAGAAAGGTGGACACCAGAAGACTGGGTTAGGATAGAAACAGAAACATCCAGATAGGTTGGAAATCCCAACACAAAAACAGGTCCACCAGGTAAACAGGGTATTTGAATATGAATATTTGTTTCCTATGGCTGCTGTAACAAGTCACCACAAATTTAGGAGCTTAAACCACGCAAATTATTACCTTACAGCTCTGTAGGTCGCAAGTGCCACACAGGTCTCTTCTGATTGCAATCAAAGTGTCAGCAGGGCTGCGCTCCTAAGCATTTCCTCTCTAGATGGAAGGACCCATGTCTGTGTTCATTTATTTATTTAATTTTTAAAAATGTTTATTTATTTTTGAGACAGAGAGAGACAGAGCATGAGTGGGGGAGGGGCAGAGAGAGAGGGAGACACAGAATCCGAGGCAGGCTCCAGGCTTG